GCACCTGGCTGCTCAATGCTGCCAGCACAGCCAGGTGATCTCAGGTGACCTGCTCTGGGGGCTGGGTGAGAGCAGACAAGCAGAGGTGCCACCTTGTCACACAAGCTGTCCTCACCTGTCCTTCACTTGTCCCGTAAATGACTTCAAATACGTGTAAACTCAGTAATAATTTCAGTACATCATCAATCTTACAATTTAAACTATGACATTTCCAATTACGGAATAATATTGTAAAAATATTATTGTATGCAGAAGACATGGCTTAGGTCAAATTTTTAAGGGCCTGCCATTACTGAGTGTGTATTTTAGTCACAGTGTTTTCCAAGGATCAGGGCACTGTAATAAAGCCAGCATTACTAACTAGTCAGCCATGAATGATCTGCTCCTTTCCTAAGCCACAGAGAAACGTTCTAGAATTGCTACTAAGATTAATCTACAGACAATTTTGGTTAAGGCTTTACAAGGGTTTAAGAAAGTTTGTTTAGGCCTCAAAGCAAAGCCATCCATCTGCTCTAAAGACTCACTGCTGGAAGGGTTCAGCATTGAACACTGCCACCATTGTGGCCAGCCCTCAGCAAGAGAGCAAGCGTTATCCTGCTGCTCTTAAGAAGACAGATGGGCACCAGTTTTAAATTAACAGCTTGGGAACTAGACTCAACACACATTTCTAACTAAGAGAATGTAAATAAAAGCAACAAGCAGCTGCTCCTCTGGAATATGTCTATCCATTTACAGGTAAAGTGACATTGATCAAAGCCTAAAATAACGGAATCCAAACCCAAGCTGGACATAATATCTTTAATACATCTCAGGTGTACCAAAATGTCCCAAAGGATGTGTTTCCAGGAAACACCTGACTCCATACAACTTTCTGAAGTGGGAATCTTAGGAAAAACCCTTGGAATACAGGCTGCCAAGTAAAGGGAAACAGCAAAGTCAAGAGTCCTTGGTTTCAGACTACTTAGTATTCAGACAGTACTACCTAGAAGCTGCAGCCTCTCTAAGCTGTGCATGATGGATGTCACAGGCTCTGCAGACCCCAGAGACCTTTTTCTGATAAAGTGAGTGAATAAATAGTCAAAGGATAACACAAAGTGAGGGTAGCTCTGCAATGGTGACATCAGCTCCAAATTCATGAGTCTGCAGAGATCTGTTATGAACTCAAAAAAGCTCTTGCCTTTCTTCCAGACTGTAATTTCTCCAGGCTGAGCTTTTTATTGCAACAGCAAGTCTTGTTTTGCACTGTGGGAATATGCAACACTTAGTAGGATGGTGTCCCAGCTCACCATCATAAATCAAATGCTGCATGTATAGGCACTTCAGATGTTATTGGCAACAGTAAAATTTAATACACCTTGCCAGCATGTGGAAAAAATTTAAGGTCGAATTCAATGAAGTCAGTGTGATTCTGGCCTGAATCACCCATCTGCTACCTGTATTAAGTAGTATAACATTCTTTGTATAAATAAAATATATTCAATTTTTATCACATTTGACATTTCTTACAGTGCTGAAATTTTTGTCATTTGTCAACCTGTATTTTTAGAGCTCTCTTGGACTGACTGCCAGGACTCCATCTGGCAAAATGAGGGGTGTTCCTAATTCAAAGCACTTCAAAGCAATTCTCCCTCATCAGTTCAAAATGATCAAATTAAAGTGATTATGGGTGATTGCAAAAAGATGGATTTTAATCTTCTTTAAAAACACAAACAATGAAACAGTAATTTAAAACTCCTTTTTGTTACTCTATCAGCTACCTACCCACCCCTCTATCCTTTGTATGAGGTAGCTGCATTTCCAGTGATGATGCATTTTAAATAACTTATTGCAAATAAGTTAAACTGATTAATGTATTACCCACACTATAAATGTGATTATGACCTGAATAACACATATCTTAAGGACAATACAGATAGCTAAGGTATCTATTATGTTAAATATATTTTTTTTTTCCCTGGCTGAAGTGAATTTCAGTGAGTTGGTCTCAGATACAAGCCCCACTCTCATGAAGGTTCTGGCTTGTAGTCTTTATTCCTGAAGAAAGCATACCAGCAACTTAAGAGTCACATGTCTTCTCACATGAAGTCTCTTTTCTTCTTTGAATAATCAAAGAGATGTCACTTTCAAGACTCTCTACATGTACAAGTTACTGTAAAGTTTTGCCTAGACTTTGGAAAGGCAGAAAGCTCACCTGTCATGTCTCAAGCTACACGTGTCATCATTGGCAAAACAATTCCCAAACATCCCAGCATGGATTATCCACAGAAATAAAGCTCTGCATCTCCTAAATCCAGGACCACGTCACTTCCCGGAGGAAGCGCAAGCCAGCGGCAGGGTCCTCACCCCACCTGCAAGAGAAGCAACTCACTGAGCCAATCTGTGTGGTGTGCACACATCCACATCCCCCCTGCAGCCCCAAAAGCAAGGGACAGCAAATTAGTTAATGGAAATTCCAGTATTTTAAGCTCATCAGCTTCCCTTGGGGCTTGGCAAGTCCTTGAGAGATGTCTCAGCAGGATGTAATGGCTCTTGTTAAAATTTCCTGGAGTGGAACAGAATTCCACCTATCCTTGCTTGCTCAGTAGCCTGTAAAAACTTAATTATTAGCATTTATTTATTTCTCTCCTGGATTTTATGGGGATAAAGTAATGCACAGCCTCACCAGCCTTCATCTGTCACTGGAACCAACTCCTACTCTCTTCCACTCTCCAGAAGTTGCACTGGCTTGGATTTTAGATCTACACCTGAATTGACACAGATGCAGCACACACACACACGGTGCTACATCTGTAAGTATCAAACTTATCTAAGCCAGTGATTGCTCCTTGTCCAGCTAACTGATCTGGAAAAAATAAAGCAGTTTGCAGGGAGGAAATGGTAAAGTCACAAAAGGCAGATACAGCAGTGATCCTGCTCTAGCCCAGCATATTAGTCCGTTTTAATCTTTCCTAAGAGCACAGTACATCACAACTCCTTATCTGCCCCATTTTTCTCACTGTATCAGCCTTTAAGAACATATAAATCATTATGGAAATATAACATTAATCTCTGTCACTTACATCACCATTACAAAATCAGCTATTAATACAAGCAATTGAAGGTAGTTTCCTTACCCAGAATGCAAGATAGAAAACTGGAAAAATTAGGGAAAAATCTCATTTTGAGCTCATCAGCTGTCAAAGCTCTCTGTTCTGTAGATGCATTGGCTGGGGACCTCCCTGAAGGCACATGTCTCAAAGCTGTGAATGACAGCTCATGGGACAGGCACTGTGGTAAGCATTACATGCTGCTTTGGCAAGGTCTGACAAACCACACTCCACCAGGTGTGGTGGGCAGGAAAAAAGCCAGACAACAGCAACACTCCAGTTTATTTCTTATTCCCTAAATTTCTTTAGATTGCTAGCACTGCAAGTGTCAGCTTATAATCAATGGCATCTGCAGTGCACAGAAAAGCCTTGAATTGCTCTTATTACAAACTAAAGAATCAGGCTCTAAATTGAGTTCCAAGGTAACTAAAACCGTGTTTTATTTTATAACTAACAAAGAATTATACTCTTTTCAAATCATGTAAAACTGATTTAGGTTTTTCTGTAGATTTCAACCTCTTCCAGTCACTGGGACATAGAAGCAGTAACATCACTACTCCCAGCCAAACCAAAGTGGTTTTGTTGCATGATGTGAGCCTTCTGCATGCCTTCAACATGAACACTAGGACAGAATTAGCCAGGCTTTTCCTCCAGTGATTCATTACACACCAAGTACCTGATATCACATCAGCCCATGAAATCTATTCTCCGTGTATCATCAATCAACATCAGCAGCATAACCAAGCCATGACATGAAGAGAGATTTGTCATTAAGGCACATAGAAATTATGACATGCTACACAGTTCCAGCTCTCAAATCCACTCTCCCTGAGTGGTAAAACCAGCAAGTGTTCCCATGATTACCCACAGCTATCATGTGACTAGACCCTGTACTTACACAGATACAACATCTGAAATCCAATGTCTTCATTACATGGCTTAGTTCAGTATTTGTAACTTCATCCTGGAACGTCTCCAGATAGGAACACTCAGAGCACAATACTTTAATTTATGTTTCTGAGCCTTTTAAGTTGACTTAATCTGATAGTTGGCAGTAAGTCTAGAACCTGTGCATTAACTACGCCTTTCTCCACGGTAGATTAACTCTGTGGGAAAAAGTTCAGTATTGCAAGGCACTTCAATTATACAACTCCTGATTTTACATGCATCTGTCAGCTGCATAAACTGTATTTTTGTTGTCATCACTGAGAAGTCAATGTTCACTGATTATTGTTCCCACCTGTATTCTCTGGTTTGTAATGGTAAAGTCTATACAGTAACTGCCAGAAAGGCAGTTTAAAATGCTTTACTGTACTATATACACAGAAATGCAACACAGGCAGCGTAAATGCTGTAAACCTCCAGGAGCTTTTCTTTAGATTTTGTTAGGATGAATAGTTAAAAATATTCCCCAAACAGGCTACCCTGCAGAGCTGGCCTGTCAAACAATCCTGAAAGAACAAGTTACAGTCCTGCTGCAGTTTCAAGCTGTGCAGAAGCCTGCCAAGGCAGCAGTAGAATAAAGGTAAATGATGTACTCAGGAAATGTGGCAATCTCAGTCTGCCCCAAACGTTATCGATCTCACAAGTCCTGGCTTCAGAATAGGGAGAGTTTCTTTGTAATGCTTTATTTCTTGAGATGGTTTATAAGCAGAAATCAAACACTAATGCCCTGGAACAAAACCTACATGAAGCACAACCCACTTTATGAGTTATAACAAAAAAACATTCTGGACAACATCAGGTTTTACTACATGTAATGGCTTTATGAAATGTATAAATGTTATTGTTCTATAAAATACATTTTTCATTCCAAAAGGCAAATTATAATTCATATTTCTTCAGGATTTTCCTTTCTAGTGCTTTAAACTTACTTTTAAAAGAAAGACGCAGGATTGCCAAATTAAAGGTTTATTATAGCGTTTTTATTAACAAACTTTCATTGGAAAGTTCTGGGCGCATTAACATAGGAGGCACATTGGCTTCGATGTTTGGCATTTGACAGTCAACAGAATTGCACTTCACTGCGATTGCCTTGCCACAACAGTGTGAACTTTCATGGCAACCCTCGGAGCGAGCCTCTCTGCCTGACCTGGTCAGCAGGTGTTTTCTATCGTTTTGGTCAGCCTTCAAAACTCGGTCATTCTGCAAAGAACGCTGATCTATCTTGCTCTCAGCTTTCTTTTTCTGCTTGGACAGAGAGGCTTTCTTGCTTTCCACCCCATTTGCTTCTGTACCACCCTTTTCATCACACTTGTCTGTCTGCTGACAGAATCCCTTTTGGTTATTTGAGACGCTGTTCTCACATTCAGAGCAACGCACTATTAGAGGTGCTGCGTTTCGGCAGAGGAACTGTGAGGAGCTCATCACCTTTGGAACAGTTCTTACGTTTTCCTCTGGGTTTTGATGAGCATGTGTATCTGTCCTGTTTATTCTTTGATGTGCCTGGAATTGTTGCACAGACTGCAGGAAAAAGTTTTTAGGCAAAGAGTTTTGTGTCATCGTTCTTTTGAGCCTTCCTTGAAGGCAGCTGCAATGGAGGACATGCTGGACTGGATGCACGTAACCCTCGGCAGCTTGCTGTAAAGCATTTATAGGAGCTACAGAGCTTTGGATCTGCACAGTCCCTGGGGAAGGAGAGCACTGGTAACAGAAGGCATCACTTAACTGCTGACAGGAGTGCGGACTCCACTTCACTGCCACCTGCTTATATGCATCAGGACAGCTACACTGCCTGTTTTGAGAGAAAATCGGGCATATGGTGTGTTGGTCAATAGATGTCGGCAGCACAGCTGAATTAGCAACGTTTTTGATGCCTTTACTCACTTCACTGTTATAGGCTGGATGCATAGGCACACACGAGTTTTGGGGCCTGCTGCTGAAGAGCTCTGAGCAGATATGAGTCTCTTCGTACGTCACTTTCTCCGCAGGGTTACAGATTCCGGTTTGTGATGCCAGAGGTTCAAGCTCATAGTGCTCATGCTCCATTTCTGGTTTTTGACTTCTGGAGTCCAGCTGATACTTGCTAACAGGATGTGATTTGTTTTGACCCCTGCCCCCTTGGGCTCCTGAAAAGGCCTGAGAGAAGGCATTACACCGCAGTTTTTTTGGTAGTGGGATCTGGCCACAGGTGCCCTGGGGCCCAAGGCATCGGCACATGCACTGGAAGAAAAACGTTGCGAAAGCCCAACTAATGCACATTATAAGCATCATGAAAGTGCCAAGCTGCGTGTATGCCAACACTGTCGAGGGCATCATCATTGCCCCAGCTACAAATGTAGTCAAGGCAGCCATTGCAATGGCAGAACCCATCCGGCTTAAAGAAAAAATGACCTTCCCCTCTCGGTCAGGGTCAGGGGCTAAGCGGTAAGCCACTCCGTAATGAACAGCAAAGTCCACTGACAAGCCGACAGCCACCGAGATTGTCACAGATTCCAACACGTTCAGCTCCCACCCAAGAAGAACCAGAGAACCTACAGTGACAAAAATAGTTCCAGCTATTGAAACTATTGCATAAAGGCTTATGATTATGTTCCAAGTTGTAAGAAGCATTACGCTAAATGCAACGGCAACTGAAAGGCCCATGGCAATCAGAGTACCATCAGAAAGACTGTCCTGAAGGTCATAAAATTCAAGGTTACTCACAAACCAACCATTGCTAAGACCTTCAGGAGCAGAACTAAGCTCACTTGAAATCCATGAGTCCACCTCTTTGTAGAACTGATGCATTTTCTCATAAGCCAGTGTGAAGAGGTAGGTACTTTGGAACTCCAACACCACTGCCCTGATGGTGTCATTAAGGTCAAAGCGAGGCCCTGGGGTTTTGCTATCTAAATGGTACCCTGTGCTTCTTTCTAGTTCCATTATAGCTCTCTTGATACATAATTCAAAAACTTCTTGTTTGTATGGAAAGCTCCAGTGGCTGCAGCAGGGGTAAAGAGATGGCTCATCACAGTCCTGATTTTCCATCCACTGCTTAAATGTTTCAATGAAGCAGCTTGTGAAGTCTTGTTCATCTGTCTGATAAAAAAAGGTTTGATTTCTTAACTTCTGACAGAAACGTAAAATCCAAACCTGTGAAGCTGGGCTAGCGATATTAAAGCTGGTATCTAGCTGCAGCTCTCCTTTGCTTTTAGGGTTTAAAGGGTCACCATTATCCTCAGGTGTGACACCCCAGATTACTGTAATCGGCATGTGGAGCTCTTCTCCGTGGTGGACACGTTCAAACATAAAAAGTTTTTTGTATTCTGCATCGTATCGTTCAAATGGGTGAGAAGACCTAAATACCTGAAACTCGGAGAGCTCCAACGACGGCAGCTTCATCTTTGGATTCACACACACAATATATGCTCCACCAATTGTTAAGGCAAGGAACCAGAAAAGCCAAATATACCGAAATTTGATAACAATGCATGGCAAAACTTTCTCAAAAAATATTCTGGATGCTTCTGAGACTGCAAAAATAATCTTGTGGAACATTTGGCACAACACTGTCCAGCAGTTTTTGTTGTTGTATACCCTCTGCTGAGGTTTCTTAAAGCAACTGAAAATATTGAGAAGATATCGTTCATGTAATACAACTACAGCAGGCAGCCATGTAACCATCAAAACATAATTCACCAGAATGGCAGTGCCAGCATAAACACCAAAACACCTGATTGCTGTGATATTGCTGACATAATTAGCATAGAAGGCAGCAGCGGTTGTAAAACTCGTGACAAACATTGAAAGAGCAGCGTGCTGCAATGTGATGCTCACTGTCTCAGAGGTTCCAGCATGAGGTTTATCAAACTTTGTGTAGTTCCAAACATCACATAAGACAAAAGCATCATCTGCTCCAATCCCAACAAGGATAATCAATGCTGTGAGATTCATAAATGGAAAGAACTCAAAATTAAATACTACCCGATAGAGAAAATAAGAAATAATCAAGGAACTAATTATTGCAAACATAGTCATCAGCGTGATAAACATGGACTTGGTGTACACACACATAACTAATAGAACAATTACAATGGCTATGGCAGGATACACAGTATCCATCAACAGGTAATCTTGAAACAACCTATGTTTTATTCCAAACTCAATCCCTGTGACGGTTGTTACACCATCCGAAGCATTCCAGTTCTCAAAGTTATCTAGGTAAATGCTCATCATGCTTTCCCCTTTCTCAGTGGGAGAGAAGAGCATGCTGTATTTTAAAGCTGGTAAGACATAGTCAGCTGTCTTTGGGCTTAGGAAATCCTTGTCCACTAGGTAGTGGAGGATCTGGTAAACAGCGTTGTACTTGGTACATTTGCGAGGCACGTTAGTACACTTGAGTTGGTCCTTCCTTTTGGCATTCATGTCCCAGCAGTCCGGCCCCAGGGTCCCATTGTAGTAGTATTTGGCACAAGTGCGAAGCAGCTTTAGGGTGTGAGACACATCCCGTTCCACAATCTTCTGACATGATGACCTGTTGTTCAGAATAGCAATGTAATTGCCCAGTGTCCAGCTGGGACAGCACGAAGCAGCAGTGGCTCTCTGGCAGAGATCACCAAACTGGGAATGGGATCTGATCTGTATAAAGACAGACAGGGAGAAAAATCCAATTTAAAGTAACAGTCTGAAACATTCAGTAACCAAAAAAACCAACCCAAGAAACCCCTTTAAATTATGAAAATTCAGTTTACGGTCCTTTGGCATTACCATTTTAAATCCTTATGTCCACAAACACTGCTTTAGGTCAGTATCCTCTTACATGCAGCAGACTAAACCACCAATATACGGACTTGTCACAGTGGCACAGAATTGGCAGAAGCATTAAGAGTATTATTTGAAGATCCACTGAGCTGCTTTGTTTCTTTCCAGACTGAGGACTGTTAACTCTCTTCTATTATCTCATGCTATACTCCTAAGAATAAACAATCAGCCATACATCAGTCAAGTTTCATTCTTCTTGGAATCACATCCTGAAGTTCCTAGGAGAGCCAAGGACTTACCTGAAAGGAAGGATATAACAGCTTTACCCTAACTTCCATCACCTGATCTCTCTTCTACAATCCTGATTTTATGTGTCTCTTTTAGGTCTTGTACAGCTGGCAGGCACTGTCCCCAAACAGTTCTGCCTGCCACCCAGGCACTGCATGTCCCTAAGTCATACACGATTTCCAAAGCACAAGCACAAGATAATTGCACTGTCCTGAAGCACCCCAAAGTAACAGGTCACTCCTCTGAACACTGCACCCATGGTGCACGGCACATTCTGGCTAAAGATTCTCCTGAACTAAATGAGTCTTAATCCCTTATGGGGTATTTTTCTTTCACTTCTAGAATACTCCAGATTTAGTTGAAGACAGTAAGAGCATGACTTAGCTAAATCACCACAAGACACTTCTACACAAACTGAAGGTAACTATAAACCAGAAGTGAAACTCTTAAGTAACAAGGCTAGATCAGGGAAATTCTCTCAAGTTGAGAAAACTCAATCTTTGAAGAGCACGAGGAATAAGTGTCTCAAAAAACAGAGCTTCTGTTACATGTGACAAAGTAGAATTAGTCCTTCAAATAGTTAAAATATATGTAAAAGTTCTGTTTTGATCAAGTTACACAGAATGAACACATATTAATAGAGTCACATAAATAAAGCCATGTGCTTCAGACTTCATAGGAGTGCACCCTGAAACAGTTGTCCATGTATGCTTTAAATTTAGGTGATCTGAAAGAAACCACTTAGTCTCTTTTTTCTTTTTTTTTTCCTTCAGCAAAACTGCACAGGCTTATTATTAGCAATCCTTTATAATGCAGACCAAAAGATACACTTGGGGATTCTCTCACCAGTTATAAAGGTCTTAATATGGACCAAATTTTGTCAACCGGTTTCTGAACAATAACAAACTGGCATTCCAAAAAAACAGGATAATTCATATTTGATTGTTTCCAGATAAAAACACTCACACATGCAAACTCAGGAAAAACTGAACAACCTACTAAATAAAAGGAAGCACTGGAATAGCATATCTGTGTTTTTCATGGCACATCTCCAGGTTAGTCCTATGAGGATATAATAGGCAAACTGGGAGGAAAGGATTGTATTGTCTTCCCTATGTACTCAGGTTCAAGATGGGACAATGAGGTTTATACACTGTTCTTCTACACTTGCTGCAGGCCATAAACATTCACTGGCAAAGTAACTGCTGCCACAGACAAAGTAACATGAGCTGGCAGCTCGAAATTAGAAAGTAAAATACAAAACTTAGCTCCTGATAGCTCATTAAAATACTACGTAAAACGTTAATAGATTGTAGCATTGGGCTTTGTTGGTGATCCAAAGGAACTGGAAAGGTCATTCTGGTGTTTCCAGACTGGCCTACCACTGGCACCACTTTAATTTATTTTGGAACAAGCAAGGAAACAAAACTGTGCAACCTGTATGCATCTGTGGGCAGATCTGCCCAAATGGCTCTCTGCAGTGACAGAGAATCACAAATCCATTGCTTTGGGGAAGTCTGAAGACATAATATACAGTCATTAAAGTTTATAAAATAACTGTATACAGTATATAGGGAAAACATTCTGCAATTAACAGGTGAAAAAAAAACCCCTCTTCTTATCCAAGTTGTAAAAAAATTAGAACACCTCCTATAACTATTTTGTATATAAAGTTTCCAACAAGATTATAGAACTAGCATATGCTGAACAGCTGCAGGGTAGAGCCCCTAAGTGTCAGTAAAACCTTTAGTTAAGGCAGTTACAAGCAGATGGGAATGCAATTAATACATAGAGGATATGCTGTTAGTTCTGTACTAAAGCCAATACTAGTTGGTGCTGATATCCTGCATATCATCAGAAAAATATATAAATTCTAAGGTTTGCATTTCCACCAAGCAGTGACTGGTTTTCCTGTCTTTGAATACAGAAAGCTTTACCACTTAATTCAACAGAACTGTGGCCCTAAACAACCATGAACACAAAACCAAAAATAACTACAGCCAGAAAGGAGCCTGTAAGACCAGAAGGTCACCAAAATAATGATTTTTTTTGCTATGGCTGCACTGCAAGTCAGCATCCTCTCCCTCCCTAGGGACTGGCTGCCAGCAGAACTTAGCATTCAGAAGTGGGATAAAGCACAGCACTTTGTGAGTTCTAATAAGTGTTAAAAGTACTCAAAAACTGCTAGAAAGTGTTAAAATACTTTAAAATGCTATTTATAAGCAACAAGCACTTAAAAAAGAAACTATAAAAAAAACTTCATCCCTTTCTGAGTCCTGAGTATCTAATTTTTATAATAAATTTACATGCACAGACCAACAATAATAGCAAAACCTAAAGACATTAATTTGTTTTCTATACTAACTAGCTAAAAATCAATGCTGCTGCCATGATGCACTATTGCTCTGCTCAGCTGAGATGTTCAATTACTTTATTCCTAAGTAATTTACAAATAAATATCTATAAAAACATTACTTACAACAATATTATTTATCAATATCTACACAACTGTGGGTGTAGATGTTGCAGCAAACATTTCATTTTCTGAAGTGTTCTTATTTCAAAGGAAGAGCTGGTTTTATGGGGCTTGTTTGTTGTAGTAAAGTAGTTTCATCCTTCCCTCAGAAAGTATAGCAGTATTTGATATAATACATTATTATCAAGGTAAACAGATGGGGAGGAACAAAAGAAGAAAATTCTCAGGAGTAATGCAACCATTACAGAGATACTCTTCAGAGGTAATTAACTGTCATCTGTTAAACAGAATGATGTTTTTTAATTCAGACTGCATTGCTTTGCAATGATCTGCCTGTGTGACTAAATTTCTACAGTTAAATGCACAGATTAGCATCTCCTCCCTCAGTTTTTTACCCTTGTTAAAGGTTATTCTCCCCTGGATCTCCTGATTGAATTGGTGATATGATGACTCCCTAGCTCAGCCCATTCAAAACTGAGCTGGGCTGCTTTAGATCCTGTTCTCTGCTCACCTGGCTCGTTCTGATTGCAACAGATAAAACCACATGAGCCATCCTGTCACTGCAATCATCTCTGATGGGGAAACAGAGAACATTTCAAGAGTGTGTGAGGACAAAATCCACTTCCACCAAGGGAGGCCAACCAAGACAAAATGCCTGTCAGCAGACTGCCAAGGGAGACTCCTTATACAATGTTCCACTACAGCTCAACATTTTAAGCCAGCAAACGATAGCTGCTGTAGAGAAAACAGTTTGGGAATTTGCTAAATTAATATAGTTGTCTAATAGGCAACGATCAATCTAATAATGAAAATATTTCTCATTAAATAAATGAGAAATATGAATTAAGTTGTCTATGAATATTTTTGTTTTGGAGAAGAGCAAAATGGAAATAATTTGTTCAGTATTAACAGATGAAAAACATATTGCTTCATTTCCATGCAAAGTCATCAGTATGTGAACCAAAAGTTCATGGTTACTCAGAGGTTCAAAGGAGTTCGCTCCAGCAAGTGACAAGCTTACATTTTACTGATAAAGTTTAAAGAGAAAATTAGTTTTACTCTTCAATTATCGTTATCAACATCCAATTAACTGGACTGTATTTCCAGCTATTTTACTTAAGTTCCTTTGCTGTCCATTTGCCAGCAAACAAAAAAAAAATTTGAGTGATCCACTGTGTGTCAGAGAAAACTGCATAGACTATGAGATTATAGCTAGTTCACCTAGAGGTGAAAACACAAGAAAAATCAATTATTTGCTGGAACCCAAGAACAAAACTCCATGGAACAATATTCTATGAGGAAATACAGAGTAAAAGTTAAGCTAGTCCTTTCCTGAAGCAACCCTCTTCTAACCCATTCTGGATGCTATTAGTAGAAAACTCAGAGAATTTCCCCAATATATAACCTGATGTACAAATTGGAAGTTGTTTTTAACTGCATGTACATGTTGACCAACCATCTGACACGAGCTGAACCACATAAAGTCCTCTCATATGCTACTAGCTGGCAGTGGGCAGCAAAACAAAGCTTCAAATGCATGCTCTGTATCTGCAAGTGAAACAAATGCCATGTTGACTTACCCTCAAGTTGTCTACATTGCACATTGACTTAATTGCGTTCAAATTCCATAAATTCTCTCCTTCTGTTGATGTAAACACCACTCGTGAATAGCGATCACCTGAAATTACAGAAGGGGGTTTTCACTCATTGTTTGGGTGGGCCTGGTATCAAAGGCTGAGGCAAAATCCCACCATTCAAATGACACATTTGAAATCTTTGTCGAGTCATGGGAATTCACCTCCTTTTCAAGATGAGCTGTTTATCTCTAAGACTCACTCCACATGAAAGTTTCCATTTCCTTAAAGTGCTTATAGTAAACATGGAATCTTCAATACTACGTACCACTCAGAAGCTCTACAGACTTCTATTCAAGCAAACTATCTTCTGAAATATGACAAACAAATAAAAATCAAAAGATCTAATCAGCAAACTATGAAATTCTTGGCACAGCATAATGGCAGCACACTGATAATAGTAATCAAAGGCTGATTTACTAAGTCATTTGGGAATATAAATAATAATTATAAAGCTGTTTCTACAAGAATGTTTTTGCCTTAGAAGCAAATGACTGCAGTGGAAATTGTTGTGATATCCTTGAGGCCATTTTCAAGAATTCCACAGTTTAGACACATGGAGCTTAAATTACAAATTAAATTGCATTTATCAGAAGATAGATTTAGGAAAGGAAATAATTACTTAGTGACAGTGAGATCTGTCTGCAGAACTCACAAGGGAAACAAATACACACATGCAAATATATAGTACTGCCTAAGACTGTATGGTACTTTGGGTTAAGAAACATTATCACATTAATTAAAATATTCCAAAAACCCAAAAGGCCAAATTTTCCCCACTGCTGTGAAGCTGCAGAATTTTTGCCTTCCACAAGGCTGCAATGAAAAGACTCAGGGGCAGTGCTTTATGATCTCCAACCATGCTTTAGGATCAAGGGAACTGAAATCTGAAGGTCCTTGAGCAGACAAAGAAAGATAACAGGAATGACAAAAGTGGGTCAAGAGGAAGTCAGCTGTTTTCTTTACATAAAGGACTGGTAAATTTTCCCATAGAAACACAATTCCTTCATGACTGTCACAACTGAGACTATGCAGACACAGCAGAGGAAAGAAGAGTGAGACTGTGCAGAACAGCAGCCTGGATAAGAGGAGTTAATTCTGCTTCAAGTTAATGCTCAGCAGAGTACCAAGCACATTTCCTCTCCCTTACTCATGATATTCCCAGTCTTAATTTGGTTCTGTTCACAGGAGCAGAAATGATGACCTTGCTCCCATCCTCTCACTTAGATATAAGACCATACTGTAATTGAAAAAAAAAAGAATAAAAATCTGCTCTTCACTCCAGTTTTCCCTGGTCATTGCTCTCTTAGACCAAGTAATCTAAACAAATAATTTCACAATTGTGTTTTGTGCTGTTATCAGTCCTCACATGTGGAAGTAGCCACAAAAGAGCTCAGGTCCTTCTATGAATAGAGGCAAGATCTACATCTCTCTGCCAGAACAGAACTTATCAAAGTTCTGCAGTGTGCCTTGCAAAAAGTCAAAAGACTTTGTCTTTTTTGTCCTCTATCTTAACTTAGCTCCATAAGCATACAGTGCTTTAAGGTGGGGACATGTTTTTATTTTTATTTCTGTTTCTTTGAGAGGGATGTTTTCTTTGTTGGGTTTTTTTGTGTGTCTTTGTTTTTTCCATAAACAAACCCCTACATTCTGTACAAAATATAACTGGTGGATGCCTTTCAGACATATACAGGAAAAATATTTTGATTTAGGTTTTTTAGAATTAAGTTAATGGCACAGACAAAACACAACTTCTTCCCAAGCTTGAATTAACGGCTACATCTCTAGCCACACACAAAACACTGATTTTACAATGTTCAGTACTACCAAGAACTAATAAAATTCCTTACGGGAAATGGAAACACTTAAAGGAAGCACTTCAAGTAAATACAGTTTATTCTGAGAAAGAGCCAATAGAATAGAACCAATAAGGCAAATTTTGAAATAATTTTGAAAGTGACTTTGAAACATTTCAGCCCAATTTTATCAAGATTTCTGCAAGGAGAAAGATGATGTTTCTTGTGTGTATATATTAAGTAAAAAAAATCTTCCTAATATGGCATACAATATACAGAAGAGTTCAGAAAATTCTGAAATGTTAGAAGTTTTTAGCTTTCCTTGTATCATTTCTCAACTTACTTGGAATATCACAGAAAAAGGTATCCTTGTGGAAGTTCCAGTCTGCTTGCCTCTTCTCTCTTTCATAGTGATCATCTGACCATCTGTCATCTTGATGACTAAACCAGAACAAAGAGTTTTACTTTACCTTAGCAAAGAAATCATTTAAAGAAGCACCATCCAAACAAGTCACACAGCTTAACAGCTTTCACACATGAGAAAATATATATGATTTTGGTATACAAAAACCAACAGAGCAATTTAGTTTTTTTCTTTAAATTAAGAGACTTCAAATGAAAGGACATTGAGTCCAGTACCGAAAATATCCATAGAGAAAAGTAAAAATATACATTTTTTTAAAAAGCTTGTAATGGAAAATATCTAGCCTGATATGAAAGGCCTTAAGAACTGTAGAATATTAGATTAGTATTTATAGAAACAAGTGGCAGTATATAAATTAACTTCAGAGAGTACTGGTGATGTACATACAAAACCACCAATAAAGCAAAACACATTCTCATTATAAAGCCTTATTACCTTTTAGCTTGCTCATCTGCATATTTGAAAGGATAGTTTGCAAGTGTTGCTTTGTACCCTGTGTTTTTCACCATGTTGTTCCAGGTGACCAATCTCTGTCCTATGGCTGTCCCTCTGGGTTCAAAACCCTAAAGGGAGAGAAGCACAAAATTCCATTAATGCTTTTCATTCTTCAGCACAAACGGGAGAGCAGCAACACGATCAAAGTGATGGATAGTTTTCATTATGAGGCATAATTACTCCAGGCCTCTACTTTTAGAGGTAAAATGCTTTATGACAAGTCAGACAAAATAATGACCAACTGTAGAGAGTGACAAGGGATTAAGAATTCTTGCACGTCCTACTGCTCTCCCTGAGGAGAGATGATGATTTAGTCCACCAAATGTTCAACACTTGGTTTTCAGAGAAAGGGCATTTCTATATTGTTCTCTTCTGTACCTCAATTATCACTCTTTATTGATTATATATGACTAAAAACTGTCAAGTATTTCTTCTCTATTTCTCCAAGAACAAGGCAAATATTTAAATAATTTTGAAAGTGACTTTCAAACAATTTTAACAACTTGGCTGTTTTCAAGATATATCCATTACATATGGATATGCAGAGATACACATACTATCCTATAAATACCAATAACTTAGAGGAACAGTTTATTTTTATTTGAGGATAATACTTAAATGCCGTATTTTCAATGAAAAATCCTGAAAAGTACTCATGCTTAAGACAATTCACGAAAGTAAAAAATGAGTGCAATATGGCTATTACTTGATCCCCAGAAGACACTTAGAATCCCCATTCTTTTAACAGATCCTGGCCTTCATCAGAGGGAATGGAAAACAGTGGGTAACATTCTCTGATGGCAACTGCAGCTTTGTATTATCATTTGCTGCTCCAATGTCAACATTTAATACTGTATCGATTGCTGCACTTGCATTTGCTGTTTAGTGGTTCTACTGGATAAAATGGCAAACAAAAAATACTTATTTCACAGTACAACTGATTGATATTGGCTTACCAGCAGTGGATCAGAGAAATCTGGAAGATCTGGAACTAATATTCCCACGAGTGCACACACCACAATGAGCACGGTGCACATGCCCAGGACCACCACGGGCCAGTCGGCGATGAGCGCGGCGTAGCTGTGAGAGAGGAGCAGGGAGAGGTGCTACAGCAACCAAAGCTGCACAAATCCATACTCTTTAAAGAGCTTTGCAGATCAGACTAGTATTTTTCCCCAAGATTCTGACAAAATGCAAGCTTATCCATGACTGCAAACCACTAGAAAAAAAATGCTTTGTCAAGAACATCACTACTTGGGCTTTTTTAAACTTAAGCGTTTTAAAGCAAAACATCCAAGAAAGAAAAAGATCTGTTTTAAAGTAGAACCCAAAGAAAATATTTGATCTATTTTTAAAATAGTCATTAAAAAAAAATTCAAACCCTACATACTCATAATCCATGAAATCTGTTGTAGTTCAAAGGTTGGCAACATGATACATAAAGTAACCAACATTTACTGTCCACTCTTACAGCATCCTTGAATTTTAACATCTATCTCATTCTAAATTTTATGACTGGAAAAATTGTTATATGCAAACCGAATTTTCATTATTTTTGTAAAATATTTTTTATTTTTGTTAATTCAAGAAAAATGTTCAGAAAACTAAGTGAAATCAAGAAATCTTAGTTTCTAAATGATTTTTCTTACAAGACTTGAATTCATAAAGTTTACATTTCAAAAGCAGCACTAATATTGGGAGCAAAGAGAGCATAGGAAGTCCCATAAAGGCATTAGAAAAGTAATTATAGGGTATGAATCCTTCTATATGAATGGTCTCTGTAGATATTAAATATTGATCAAGAAGATCTCCACTCTTATTTCCTCCTCAACTTACAAGCAGCATAACATCAAAGTTTATAGCAGAGAGCTCCTTTACTTATTTCTACTGTCTTAAAAGATTATGGCTCTTTTTCAGTTTTAAGAGCAACTTACTAATTAATCACAATACAATTATCAGCTCGACCAAAATTTTCTGTCCTACTCTGTCCATCTCCCCACTCCAGCAGTAGGTTCCCAGTGTTCTGACAGCAAAACCAATGGCATGAGCAAGTTTATTCCTATTTTTCCATAGCATGTGGAAATAGGCACCTCTAGGGGTCTAAGTAAAGCTTTGAATAGCAAGGAAATCCAAAGCACTGGGTGTTTCTCCATTTCCCATTAAGTAAACATGGAATAATTCTAACACACTCACACAAGAGGTTAATTAGCAAAAGCTTGAAAAGCTATCTGGAGTCAAAGTTTTCATTAAAGTCAATCACAAAGGGGCAGCTTGCCAAATGAGCAATTGTACAAAGAAGTGAAGGGAAGTAAATGACCTAATAGATTTTTCCTATTTATAGGACTAAATGTTTTTCTAAGCACCAAGCATAACTGACTAGCCATTACAGACATTTGCTCTGAAGTTATAAAAGTTATACCCCAAAGATTTATTTTCCTATTCATCACTAGTGCCAGATTTACCACTTTGACATATTGTCTCTACAGTTCCAATCTCAGCTGAGCACTCTTAAATTGGGTAAATTCTTTCAGCTGTAAAAGAAACTCTGTCCTAAGTGTTTAATGTGATAATAAGCCATATACAGAAAACAGTGAAGTGCTTGTTTACACCTGCACATTTCTCTTGTTTCTTTTACCACATACTGAAATTCAGATAAGCAAAGATGACCTGGGCTGACAAAAGGACTGACCACTCTATTTTTAATTTTACCTGTCTGAACATTATTTAGTGCTGCTGAGGGCTCTAGCTCCAACCAAGTTGCCTAAACCAGCCTCAACCCCAACTCACTGTACATGACTAAAGAGATGACAGGTTTTTTATTTTTTACCCATTAAAAAGCTATAACATAAGTTTAGTTACTTTTTTTTTCCTCTGTGAGGAGAAAGCCACCACCCTGACATATTGGGCATAAAAAAGCACTTGCCTGAAAATGCCCGAGTCCAAGGGGAAAATGCTTAAATCAGTTCCTCCAAGTGGAGGAATCACGTTCAGAAAGGATATCCTTAGTGCTAAGCACAGCATTTAGTACTTTTCTAAATCAAGATAAATCCTCCCACTTTTGGATGCCTAATTTGAACTATTTTTTGGTTGTGCAATGACCTAGACATATAGCCACACTTACACCTTCTTGGCTTTTTCTCCATCCAAAATATTTCAGCACTGAATGATGAACTCACATAAGTTTGACACTGAGTGAAACACCACTTTTTATGCCATTTTGCCCTGTTTTCAGTCTGTTAGAATGGTACTAATTTTAGCTAGCTATGTACCATTAAAATGCATACAGCTTTCATTAATTTATTTCCTCCTGATGTTTTTCACACACCTAAAAAAGTTTGGTTTTCTTGTTTTTTTGCTTTATTTTAAAAATTCATGCTTTAAGTAATTCAAAATGCTTAGGAGATACAGTAATTCAACCTATATTTAGCACCACTAAAAGCACCACTGTAGCAAGCAATTTGTCAAAAAGTGATCCAAGACCTCAGATGTTTTCTTCAAAAGGAGAAGGTAAAAAAGAGAATGTTTAGGTTCTTTTCCTATTTTAAGCATAATATGTGGCTAGTGACAAACTTCTCAATTCAGCTCCTGTATACAGATGTCCTCAGGTTCAACCATTCCTCAGGCTCATACAGAAACAGGAATGTACCATATATAGTTTCTCTATTGTAGAAAGGTCACTATGAACAACAGATATTTGTGTGACCCAAATCTTATAAACACACAGATTTCTGTAACTCAAAACAGATAATTAACAAACAGGCCTGTTCCCTGGTGAAAGCAAATCATAAAGATGGATTGTGCATGATGGATTTTTAATGTATTTTCACTTGAGATGATTTCTTGTTGCCATTCTGATGCACTGATAGTTTTAGATATAATGCTGTTATTTTCTGACCCTGACATGCTACAGAGCCTGTAAAATCCAAATCCAGTGATCTAGACTGCATGGGGTTTTAGGAAGAATTAAAACTTCTATGATGAAATTTTCTGAACTTGAATGTCAGGTTTGTTTATCACTATTGATGATACAACCTAGCCACTTCTCACAGAAACCCTTAATCAAAAAAGTACTGAGGCATGGAGCATCCAGGCATAGATTTTAATAAAAATGCCCTAAAATAGTTGAAAACAAGAAGCATTGAAATCTTGTTTTCTTGAAAAGCATAGATTTTTAAATTCTGGCCTAGTAATAATGAGGAGACTGCTTTTCTGTCTGTAAATAGAGCCTGAGTTTGGATATCCTGCATGTTCTATCCCCTTCCTGCTCCCCCTGGATTCACAGATGTGTTATTAGGGATGTTAAAGAACTTAGCCCTGGCTCCTTATTTCAGTGTTTATTTAGGGACCCATTGCAGATCAATTCTTCTAAATGTTGTTTGACCTTGCTGATAGCATCTGCCTCCCTTGTTTCCCACGGCAGTTGCAGAATTTTACTACCCACTGACTAAAGAAACACTTCAAAAATCTGATTTAATTTGAATGTTTATTATTTCCTTTGAATATTCCTTATTCTTGCTTTGTATGGGGAATAAAAGCTTTGCCATCATCCCATCTAGAATTCCACAAACCTCAGCTATGACAGCACTAAATCTTACCTTTTTGGTAACTTGAATGGTCTGGTTGGTCTGAAAAAAAGAGAAGAAAGTGAGTAATTGAGAATGCATGAAATATGCATGCACACACCAATTTGTTTAATTATTCTCATACATGGGTAAGCAAATAAATTATAAAAATCAGATATTTTAGGATATGAATTATTTTGAAAGGCCCACAATCATATTCAATTGAGTCTTTGCAAACAAGTAGTTCAGAGAATAATTATAGCTATAGACAGCTGGGTTTTCAAAAGTGGAATTTTATGCAGCTGAATTTTGGAATTACTATTCCAGAGGCTTTTCCAGTTTTCAACAAGAGACCAAATAAACTAATATGATAAAAATTCAATATTATTGAAAATCATGACAAAGTTTGCATATGATGGAAACAGACAACGACAACATCATGTTCTGACTGCAATTCACAAAACTTCAGTCCTTTGTAATTCCATTACAAAAAATTATTTTGGCCGTAAGTTCTGTCTTGCCATAATACAGGAAATAGAACGACATAAAATACCTCTACAAAATATTTTTATGCAAGCTTTTGTTACTTCTTAAGAATCTAATATAAAGTACATTATTTTGAGGAGGAGACAGCAAACCCAAAGTGGAAATTATTCTTACCTAACACTGTTCAGTTCAAATTCTTAGCTATTGGACCATTAGTATTCACATAAATTTCACTTTAAAACACTTCATGAAGAATCTGCAAGTAATTTCATGAATGTGACATAAAACCACTCTGAAGTTGTGACCATACAATGGTTTCAGTTAACGTATGGATTTGTTTTACCACCAAGGACAGATTTAGTATTACTTCTTTTAAAAAGTATGGAAAGCACTGAGTTAAGAAGCAGGTACTTGCATAAAATAGATCCCTTAGTAGCATCACACTGAGATTGCCAAAAGCATAGATTTGTATGTTTTTACACACAGATAAACAGTTCAAACTTCAGACTACCCTGAGATTTTCTGAAAAACTTAATCAACTACATAGGAATGAAATTTGCTGCTCTTCAAAGTAGTAAGAGTTGTTTACTACAACACAGTAGTAAGATTTGCTCTTTTCAGCCACGAGGAAGTTGGAGAAAACCAGAATAACCGATCTACAGTTACAGAGTAACTTAAGGATTAAGGAAAGGTATAGACAAAGATTCTCTGTTGAATGCAACCACAAAAGATTAAATTTATGAAGTGTCACCAACCTTCAGACTAGGTGCACAAATCTGACTTCCAGAGTTACTGAACCCTACTGAATACCCAATTTTCCAACTGATGCAAAAAACTTCTGGTATCACTACAACAGACTCACCAGCATCCAAAATGTAGAGAAACCCAACAGAACCGAGTTCTGAAATTACTCTGAACAGTAAATTCCCTGAGGCTGAAAAGAAGTTGTGGCAAGCTTGGGGGACTGTTTGTCTGATCGACAGCCTCAACCACAAAACCAACTTTTCCCAGCTCAGGCTAGACTGAGACTGGAGGATCAGAAACCAGGTACTGAAGTCAAAACTCACTCAATTCGAATCTGAAGTGAGCAGTAACAGGACTCTGGATGAAGAGAAATGCTTAACAGACCCTTTCATGAACCTGCACCAAGGCAGAGCACACGCTGAACGTGCCTTCATGACTTTATGGAAAAGGGGGCAAAGCCACAGGGCTGGGAATAACAAATTTTTTAACTGCAGCATAGACTCCTGGGTTTACAGATGAGAGAGAAATATAAACAGACATATTTACTGTTAGTAAGGTGATTCTAATATGAATTCTTAAGTTTCATTTGTAAAGATCTGAATTTCCATATATATTCAGTCACTCGTTTTTGTCTGTGCCATAATGGACTCTGCCATGAGCAACAGTATCAGACAATGCTTTGGCACAAGCAGAGCCACCCAATGACAATGATTAGTACAAGCTTTGTATTCATGCTGACTTGTATAAAGGTTTCTATGATAATTCCAGTTTATATCAGCAGATAAAATAGTTTTCTTCTGCATGGGGGCTACTTTAAAATTAAATGTGTCTAATTTGGTTTATACAAAGTGGGTAAAAATACCAACACAATCATTCCTCATCCTCCCCCTGTCCCATCAAAACCAAACTACATTTCCCTCTGTTTCCTCCACCTGCAAAATATATTCAGTCCTGAACAAATGATGATGATTAAGTTCTTCAAAGTTAGGGAAGGTTAAAGGTCACACCTGCTATCAAACTGTTTTGTTTTGAAAAGCATGCATTGAAAAAACCTGGGTACACCCGGGTTTAAATTCCAGCAGTGTAACCAATCCCTTGCAGCTGTTGTGATGACTCTATTATATTGGTCAATAGGAAAAGTTATCCCTGAATACTGTGCCCCCAAATTCTTTAGTTATGCTCTAAAATACAGAAATGCATGGCAAAACCAGATCTTTCCCACTTAATTAATGTTGCTGTATCTAATTTTTGAAGTATTATACTTTCATTGAGCCAGTTTAAATGACATCATCAGTCTCCAAAAAAAAGTGTGGACAAAAGAGTCCTCATCAGTTTTCATGAGAAAGAAATATTGAATTACACTCTTTTGCTGGGACAAAAGCCAAGTTGATCTGTGTATTAAATTACCTTTGTACTTAGTTCTCACAAGTCTGATAGCAGAAAGTGACAATCACAGTCGTTTGTGACAAGACCAGCACAACCAAGTTACTGCACAAACTGCAGTCACTGATTAAAATCTAATAAGTACTTTGCTCCAAGAGGGGAAAAGGGAAAGAGGAAGAAAAGGACAGGCCCTGTTCTAGCACCATTTACTCCGAGTGTCAGCCCCTGCTCAACAAGTGCTTTGCTTCATTCTGTCCTTTCCTAGTGACAAGTTCTGTCTGAATATCACACAGTTAAGAAATACATAAAGATAAATAGATTGGTTAAAACCCACAGATGTATCTCAGTATGAAATATATTTTGGATGACTAGCATCCTTCTGTGTAACATGCTGAAAAGGAGGAATGGTGTCTTTAAAAAGGGCTGCTGTAATACCAGCAAGTTTACTCTAGGACAGCAAGTTTACTCTAGGAAATAACTGAGTATCAGGAGGATTGATCAGCTTTGGACTGGACTACTACAGCTCTAATTATTCACTTTCCAGCCTAAATAAGCACTCAACCTCAGTGTCTCTACTAGGATTTTGAACAGTGAGGTAGTAGAAAACATTTGCTCCTTTGTGTACAAACCTACTTAAATAGGGGCAGTTCACAGGTATAAAAAATATGATTGCTTTACATATTTTTCCATCTGAGAAAGACAATGACCAATGCTTGAGCTTTCTGGAGGGGAAAACGCTGTGCAACATGGCAACAGTCTCCTTTAGATTCCAGCATTGAATGAGTTTTCTCTGAATGAGTTAATGGAAGTGAATAGCTATATCAGAGAGAGAGTTTGGTCCTAATTTCAAGCATCACACTGGAAAACTAGCTTTTGGAAATCCTGTGTCTTATTAAATCTAATTCATAAGCTTTGTATCACCTGGACATCACAGGGCACAAAGCAATGTTACAAAACATGTTCCTCAGCATGAGACTTAATAATAACACTATGGCTGACATACTTCATCTGCAGCATGTTTCCTTAATCCAATGCATTTCAGGGAAATACAAACCTGAATGTGTCAGAGGACAATAAAAGTACCTAGATATTCCAAGACATTCTTTTTCAGGCTTCCTTCACAAACCTCAGCTGTGAGAAAGGTATCAATGTAAGCAACCCCTTGACCTCACACCCCAAGGAATCAATGCTTGCTGCTTCCTTAGTGGTGCAAGAAACCCTGCAGAATGTAGCCATGAAATAGAAAATTAGGAAAACAGGCTGTTTTGAAGCATACTTTGAAGAGTTTTCTAGCTGTTGTGAAACACCCATCATTTCAAGAAAGTGTTAAAAAGGCAGCTATCAATAACCTAAGAGGTTGAAAGAGATATTAATATGATTTTAGATAGGAAGATTCCTGCTTACACTGACAGTAATGTCGGTTGGGGTTTTTCTGAGCCACTTAAAATGCATCAATATATTCCAAATCATATCTTTGTACTGACTTATTTAAACATTACCTTCCTAAAATTCCAATTACAATTCTGGATATTGCCCTGTCTAAACATTTGATTTCTGACTGATGTCATTTCACTTAGCTGCAATTAATTTCTATTTTACCACGTGAAGATGTAGAGACTGGAACTTGGATATAGAAAAGTTTTTCCTTTTTTTCCTCTGGAGGAACAACAAACCATTTAGACTTTAAGCTGAAATTAATGCCTACCAGCCCAGCCTGACATGGGGCAGCACAAAGGCATTGTCTGCAATTGATGTGCCCTATTTTTAGGTGTAAGGAAACAATAAACAGCATTGTATAAATCTCAAACTAGTTAGTGTGGGTGCTTCTCCTGTGCTTCATTCCTGGGAGACAGGAGAGAAGGCAAGCAGAAGCTTCTCTCCCAGCAATGATATCCAGCACTATCATTTTGGTGCTGAGCTGCACAAAAATTTGAAAATAAATGTACAGCTTACTGATATTTATTATAAAGGATTTATACAATATAGAATCACGGAATATCCTGAGATGGAAGGAACCCATTAGGATCACTGAAGTCCAACTCCTGGCCCTGCACAAGACAAGAGATTCATTTTGCACTCTTGCTTTTCACATAAAGATTCACTAGAGTAAAAAATGTTAAGTTGCAATAAATAGCTGCATTTACTGAAAAAAAAAGACTCTCCTGTCCAAGGATTATGAGGTGTTTAACCTCAATGCTTTACTTTGCCAGAGGGAAACTATTCCCTTTGTTGGTAGATCTGGTTACCAGAAATGATAAAACATAGCTTTTTGTCATTATTATACTCCTGGATAAGCTAAATCCCTGCAGGGTAGAACGAGATATGCATCATATTGCACATTCTCCATCAGAAAATACAATACAAACTAAATCCCTACACAGGAAGAAAATCCTCATGTTTTCAGAATGTCATTGACCCAAGAGAACAATCTGAATTGCTCCTAAATATCA